CGAAACTTCTATTTTAATTCATTACATAAATTTGGCTCACATCAACACAGTAAAACCAATATAAACAAACACGTTACCCAAAAAAATTGGAATAGTATTCATTAATATTTGTAAATCTTAAATACAGATCAAGATGTAACATTGAACTTTTTAACAAATAAATACGAAACATTTAGATACGGAGAGCTGCTCGCCTAGCCCGTACACTATAATCATCACTGCTTCGTGATGACCCATGTATAAAGCTAAATGGTTTTTAAATTTTTTAGAAAATAACTAAACAGAAAATTGATTTGGCGGAAACAACATGGTCTATTTTGGCAAAAACAATAAAGCTTTTCCCAAATCTCCCTTTGTGGGCAAGTTTTTAATAAAAATATATCAAAAGAAAGAGAAATACCTAAGGTATTTATAGAAAATAAATTGTTAGTTAATTAATTTTATAAATAAACAGTTTTAAGTTAAAAAAGCTTATAAAATTTCGAATATTATAGACTTTAAAAACCTGATTGTTTGGGGGATTTTCCTTATTTACGAGGAACACGAGATTTTTTATGGTTTTTTGAACAAGACACGATTTTTAATCTTTCAAAAGAATCAGCCCTGTGAATTAAGAATTAGTGGTAATAGAAAAAAAAACCCAGCACAGTGGGATTGTGGCACAGTGGGGACGCGGCATAGTTGGGTCTAGTATAGATGATATCTGACAGTGATTTAAATCACTATCATAAAAAGCTCTTTGATGCAAACCTATAAATAACGTTTAATTTTAAAATTGGTAGATTATTCCAAAAGCTACATGATCTCCTACAGTGATGAGCAAAAGTGAACACTAATGAGAAAGTTTTGAGAAAAAGGATTATAAAGTAACAACACATACGTTTTAAATTATTCAAAAATGTTATGTATTTGGAAAACAAAATTGAAGCGTATTAGATGAAAAAATACAAACAATAAGTAGCGAGTTACTAGATAACAAATTTTTAAAAGTACTCACTTTTGCATTGGTATTTATTATAGATATATTCCGGCATTGATATTTTGTTCACAAGCCTTTAGCCTTTATCACTGCTTCCATCCTTCGTGAAATGCTTTTGACCAATGACTCGCAGTTATTTACATCAATTTTTGTACATTCTTCTCTAATTCTTTCCCACAAATTGTCGAGTGAAGTAGGTGGACCATAGTACTCACTATACAATTTTCTTTTTAAATATGCCCAAAAATTCTCTATTGAGTTTAGGTCAGGACTTTGAAATGGCCAGTCCATAGTTTTAAATTGTTGATTGGAAAGCCATTGTTTGACGGATTTCGCCGTAAGCTTGGGGTCATTATCCTGTTGAAAAATTACTTCATTGTTTGGTATTGGCATTTTTACAATCACAATTAGCAAATTTCTTCATAGAATATTTTTATACATATATTGATTCATAGTAGATATAATTTTGAGAATGGGTCAGGTCAATACGCAGTAAAACAGTCCTATAGCATGACAGATCCTCCACCATGCTTAATCGTCTGCTTGACATAGGAAGGTTTGAGGCTCTCGTCAGTCCTTTTCCAGAACCAGGACCTTCCGTCAGAGCAGTATCTATTGATTTTGTTTTCATCCGACCATGTTATCCTCCTCCAGTCTTGTTCTATCCAGTGTTTATGATCTTTAGCAAACTTTAGCCTGCCCTTCATATTTTTTTTGGAAATTGCGGGTTTTTTATTTTTTTTGGCACACACAAAATTTTGTTCCTTGAGAATTCTCGAAGCTGTCCACTCGCTCACTTTTTTCCTCGTGTGTTGTTGCAATAGATTGGCCGTCATTGAAGATGAAGGTGCTTCTTCCGCTTGTAAAAAGTGAGCAAGTCTTCGCTTATCTTGTGGGGTAGTACACTTTTAGTCGGGGTGAAGCGTTAGGACAACCCTTATTTTTTATTTTTTGCACTGTCGCTTGGCTGACGCCATACTATCGAGCCACTTCTTTAGTTGATTGACCCGATTTTAGCATCGAAACAATTTGTGTCGTTTTTTGAGGAGTAATTTTCATTACTAAAGTTCACTTTTGCTCGTCACTGTATTTCCTTATTTATATTCTGATTACAAGATTTATGATTTATTAGTGTAATATATTACTATATATTTATAATATATAAATATTCAGAATGGAACAGATCTAACTGACAACTCACATAAGTCATGATCTACATAACATTTTATACTTTTTTTTTAAATAAATTTTTACAGTATAGAAGTATATTTAAAACAATTTTTATGTTATTTTTCGCAATTACAAAAATTTTTTTTAAGATTTAAAAATAGCCATCTTATAGATAAATTATAAAGATAAATTTTTATACCAAAAACTTAATATAGCATTTTGAAATTTGTTAAATTTGGATTTTTTATAAAAATTTTCCTATGGTATCAAATATTAGTCCATATTATTTAAAGTACGGAAGTAAACACTTATTACGTTATTTACTTGTAACCGCACACGATTTCTTTTTCATGGATAATAATAACGTTTAACACGATTTTTACAGAAATGATTATCTCTAATCTTTATTACAAAAGTTAGAAACACTATCGTATGTTAACTACAAATGTTGGATGGTTAGCCAAGTTAAAAGTGATAACAATTATTAATTTGCGTGATTTTATCATTGATATCATATTATTATATAATATTCCTTGTCAGGAGATTTGAAAATAAATGTACTTATTGACTATTATTCACGTATAAATTTATGAAACAAATTTATGCAATTTAAAACTCAATGTGGTTTAGAGAACGTTTTTATCTTTTTTTTTAATGAACTGAAATATACTACTACTTGTTTTTTTATGTCAATTAAAATCACTTTTTTAAGTGGTAATAATTTTCATGGAAAAGAAATCGCGTACTGTTACCAGTAAATAACATAATTAGACAATGTTTACTTCTTTACTTTTCATAATATGGACCAACATTTGATACCATAGGAAAATTGTAAAAAAAATCAAATTTTAACAAAATTTTTCTTTAAAATTTATTTATAAAATATCTTAAAAAGAATTTTAATATAAAAATTAATTTTTAAAATATTTTTTGTTATTGCAAAAATAATATAAAACATATTTTAAATATAGTTCTATATTGTAAAAATAAAAAAAAAACAAAAAGTTATATGAGTTGTCAATTAGATCTGTTTTACTCTGTATAAAGGGAAATGGTCCGATTTTAAAAAAAAAGTATGTCTAATTAATATAAATAGTATTTATCACACAAAAATTATATTGATACATTATTCTAAAAGTTATGGCATTTTAAAGTTAAAAATATGAAAAAGAATTGTTTATAAAAATCCTAGTTTTTTTTTTTTAATATTGATTAATGGTCTGTTTTTACCATGAAAACAAAATAAAGTGAACATTTTTTTTTTTCATAATAAAGTATATTATATTAGCTTTAATTTAAGATATAAAAGTGTCAGTATTTCCGGATCTCTTTCAAAAGTAAAATTCAAAAAGTTAATTTATTGTGAAAATGTTACTATTTTGAAACCCTTCCTATGGACTAGTAAAGGGTTAAATGTTTACAAAAATATATCAAATGATAGGTAAATACCTAAGTCATTTATAAAAAAAATAATATTGATTCGGTCATTTTAAAAATAGTTATGGCAATTTTAAGTACAAAAAAAATGAAAATTACGTTCCTTATTTACGGGGAACAAAGAAATTTTTTTCAATTTTTGAGTGTAATGTCTTTGACTGGATGTGATTTGTGATCTATTGACGTATCGTTGAAAGAAATCGGTTCAATGAAAGCTAAGAAAAAGTGGTAATAGACACACAAAAAAAAAAATACGTGATGATAAAATGAAGTCTTCTCAGCTTCGAATCATCAAAGCTAAAATAATATAACNAAAAAAAAAATACGTGATGATAAAATGAAGTCTTCTCAGCTTCGAATCATCAAAGCTAAAATAATTTCGGGTTGACAAATACTTCTGTACCAATATTTTGCAATAATTTAAACTAGTGGAGGAGAAGTAGAGTGGGTATGTTTATTATAATATCTAGGTATTTATGGACTAAACTAATTGTCACGTCATATTATAAAAGATCTAATAATTTTGAAAATACTGGTTCAAAAGTTTATATCATCATAAAGAAGAAGAAGGGAGAAGGGATCAGTTTTTTTTATTAAAATTATAGAATTTAAGATACTATTAACTTCTGAGAAATATATATTAAGTATGTTTTTACTATTAAAAATATTGCATAAAGCATAGTTAATCATTTACTACGTACAGCCCAATTTAATAAAACATTTTTTTTGAGTGTAAGTCATATATCAATTGATCTATTTATTTAGTAAAAAAAAAGAAAAATACTTATTACTTAATATAAATGTAATTAAATGTAATATTTATAAATTTTTTTAGGTACAATTACTTATTTAAGTGCAAAATTGCAATAAACGGAAGTAAAATGCAAAATAAAGTTCGAGAGAAGTTTGTTCTAAACGATCAAACATTAAGATATCTAAGACTGTATTATAATTTTAACCCTTTCAATCTGACTGCAATTCGTAGTTTCAAGTTTTACCAATTCCTATATTCTCTATTATTATTAGTGGAATTTATTGAAATAAACTGCTATGTGTTTATTGGTTTTTGCTATGTGACAAATGATTTATTATCAGTTGTGCAAATACTTATAAATGTAATGTGCTCTATTTTAATATTTATCAACACCTATAGACTTTCCACAAAATATGATGAATTAAGAAAATTAATCGATGCAACGAGTAGCGACTTTCTGTCTTCTAGTTATAAAGGAAAGTGCATATTCGAAAGCAATAAATCTATGTGTACTAAAATAATAAACATATTCACTATGATATATTTTTTGGGAGGGATACTTTGGATTTTAAGTCCATTGTTTATAAAAGAATTTACTTTTAAAAAAAGAGATGGCAGTCTAATCATTTTTCAAAACAATGTCCTAAACTCATTTTTCAGTTTCATACCAATTTCAGTATATGATCGAATTTACCCAATTGTATATCTATTAGAAGCTATTGAATTATTACATATGATGTATGGTTTAATTTTCTACAATGTAATAGTTGTACAATTTTGTTGGATGTTATCTGCTCATTTAAAAATCGTTGCTTTTAAATGCAAAAAATTTGGACAAATTAATGTTGAATTTGGTATGTGTAACGCTATAGATTATTTTTTATTATATAATTTTTTTTTGACAACACAAGGAAAACATAATTTTTTTAACACTACTAATGTTTAAAAATAATTGATTATGATTATATTATATGTTATATTTATAATTACATAGAAGAAAATGGCAATTTCTTTTATAGCTAATAATTTTTACTTATTTTCTGAATAGGTCAGAGAAACGACTTTAATTACATGATTAACTTCAAACAATTACTTTTGGACCATACAAAGTTAAACGTGTAAGTTGATTATATATTGTAAAAATCTTACATTTGTTATTATCATCATATTATGAACATTTTTCGCATTTTTATACAATTTTTAATTTTTAAATGAAATTATATAACTATTCGTTAACATCTTCTAATGCATTATAAAATCTTATTCATAACATAGTAGATAATCCGATAACTGTAATGTAACTATTTTAACTATTATTAATTTTATTAGTTCAATTAAGCAATTTTATGAAATCATGAAACCAATGATATTGTTTAGTTTTGGGTTCTTTTTCAATGCTTTTATTGCTTTAACATATATGTGTATTTTGGTATGTATATTTCAGATTTACCGATAAAGTAATTTTTTTAGGGCTTGAAACCGATTAAAACTAAATTTTTTTAACCTAAAAGTGGTTTTGTCTTTTCATAGAACCACTTTAAAATATTATTTTATTACTAACTGAATGTAACTGGTATTAGGCAGTTCACGTTAATTAAATTTTTACTTATATTGGTTACCAATTTTAAGTAAAATTCTATTAAAACCGGAATCGATCAATTTTTTTTTCTGTAACGGTTTCAAGCTTTGGGTTTGTGTAATATTTATAAATTGATAAGAAATTTGTTTGCAGAATTACTTTAATAATGAACGTGTTTTATCAATTAATTCAATGAAATTATTAAATTCAACATTAATTCTATTAATCACTTTATTTATTATGTGTTATTTTAATAGTTATCTTGAAAATCAAGTAAGAGAACAAAGTCAAGTAAATTATATTTTTTACAATTTTTCAGTAATTTTTTTTATGGCTTATTGAGTTAAATATTTTTAATATAGTTTTGATTTTTAACAATTAACCACAAGTGAATAATATTTGTTGTATAATATAATTTTGTCAAATAAAAATTCAAACTAAATTTATAATGTATGTATATCATTGTTTTATGTGTATGATTGCGGAGTTCAAACAAGTAGTCTAAATCGCAGGGCGTGGGTCCATTTCACCTTGACCTGATTATGGGTTAAAAATAAATTGTTAATAATTATAAAATAAACTAAATAGATAACTTCATCAGTGAATGAAAGGTTAAGAGTCTTTCATATTTTGAAGTTTTTTATTAATTTTTTTTATTTTATATTATTTCTTTTAATTTTTACTTACTACAAAGAAAGAATTAACAAAGATGTAACTTAACACATCGAGTTATCGTTTGAGTAATTGGAAATATTATATAAGAATATTTCAAATCAAATATATTTTGTAATATATCTATGAGATATAGTTTTACTAACTATTTGTTTCAAAATATTTTACAAAGTTTTTGATAATAATATTTTGTGCACTATTAGAATATGAAAACTGATATGTAAGAATAGGTTAATCTTTTTTGGAAAAATAATCGTGTATTTTTAAATAAAATTAATTATTATGTTATCATAGTATTTGAAAATTTATGATTCACCATAATCCATACATTTAAGTAGCTTCTTTTTATAAATTTATTCTTATTATGATATTTTTCAGATAAATGAAGTAGAGTTTGCTATGTATAGTATTGATTGGATCGACAAAAGTATAAAATTTAAAAAAATGCTCTTGTTGACTATGAGTTTAAATAACGCAAACAGATTGAAGATGAATATTACTCCACAAAAAACATTGAATCTAGGAGTATTTGCCTCGGTAAGTATTTTTATTTTGACGAAAACATTTTTAATAGTAACTTTTAGCTTCAATGTGAAGACGAGAAGATATTAATTTTACTGAGATGTGTTTTAGCTTCGATGCAAAGTTAAGAAGGTTTCAATTTTACTAAAATGTGTTATTTTTTTGTGTCTATTACCACTTTTTCTCAGATCTCGCTTACTGTTTTCTTTCAAGGATTTGTCAAAAGATCTCAAATCATATCCAGTTTTTGAGAGTTATGTTTTCCATAACTCTCAAAAATTGAAAAAAATTCCCTTGTTTCCTGTAAATGGGGGAAATCTCCAAAAAAATATTACAAATTTAGTAAACGGTAATTTTTGACATTATTTAAATTTTTTTTACTTAAAACTGCCTTAACTTTTTGAAAAATAGATGAATAGAAACAAAGTTTTTTTTTATAGATACTTTAGATATTTATCTATTATTTGGTATATTTTTTTTTTGTAAATCTTGCCCAGAGTAAGGGATTCAAATGATAACTCATCAACAAAAAATTTAATTTTTCAACTTAACTTTTGAAAGTGTTCTGGAAATATTGAAACTTTTATAAAAATTTTAAATGAAAGTTTATGTAATATGCTTTATTATAGAAAAAAAAAATTCGAACTCTATTTTTTCTTCGTGGTAAAAATAGTAACTGTATTCAAAAATATACTATTTATGTACTATGATTTTGGGTTTTGTATTTTATTTTAAGATACCTTACAGAGGTTTTTTGAGCTAGAAAAAAATATTAAACTCATTTGATTTTTATTTCATTTATATTCAATAAATTTAATGAATTTAATGAATATTAAGGACCCCATCATTGTAGTCTCTCCTTGTTTAAAGCAATTTCTTATTAAATTATTTTATTATATTTTTTGTGGCTCTCATTTGTTTTCTCAGCTCTTAATTGAACAATTTTCTTAAACGAAACATCAAATTATCATAAATATAATCTAGCTAAAGATATTACCTCAAAAATTTAAAAAAAATCACCTTTATCAAATAAAAATTTACTTAACCAATTTTCTCCATATAAACAATTAACCTTATTAATTTCTAATGTTTTTAAAATATATATTGTTTATTTAGGTTTGGTATAGATTGCAGGTTAGAAGTACAAAGATAAATAATTTTACTTCGTTATCTATTAATTTTTTAACTACATTTGTATGTTCTACTACCATTCTAAACTAATGCTAATTTTTTGATAAACTGTTACTGTTAAAATCATTTCTAAAAAAAATGATTTAGGGTATCACCTGAATTTAACAAATTTTTTTTACAATTATAATCAATTTTGTATAATACGCATATATGAGTCAATTTTTTAACTTTTTGATTAGTGTTTTTTTTTTTAGCTTTATGCGAAACTAAAATGATTTTGTGATACTGTGCGTTTTTTTTATACCTGTTTATACAAATTCTCAACTCTCACTGGACCAATTTTTTATAAGTATTTACTTGTTTTTTATAAATTAATAATAATCTCAAAAATGAGATGATAGAAAAAATTTATTTGCATATTTGATATCAGCAAAAAAATTGGTTTAGAAAAGTATTAACTACTTTATAATTTCTCCATAAAAATTACAATACTAAATTATTAAATATCAATTTAAATATTATATTTAGTTGTTATAATAAATATTTATTCATAAATAATGCTTATAAATCATAAAACTTGTAATTAGGATATAAATAAAAAAATTGAAGTTCATTCTGCTTTTGAAATAATCCACTATTTTCTATATTTAAAATTAAACACTATATACAAATTTCCATCAAAACTTTTTTTGTGGCAGTAATTTTAAATATCATCAATACTTGAGTTAACTATAACACGACCCCACTGTGATGCCGCTTTTATCATAATTGATTATAATATACATCTTATTTAGTGTGTATTTTATTAAAATATATATTATTATTTTCATTATGATTGAAACTTTGTTTATTTATATACTACATTATTAACGTTAGTATCAAAATATCTATTTGCTTTTGTCTTTTGTCTATCACTTTACCCTTATTAATTATTCCCATTAGCCCTGCATTCCTTTCTAATCACTTAATATTCTCTTCAAGTGTAGCAAGTGTATCTAAATCCATTTTTTTTAATTCTTAAAAATTTCTTATGGTAGACTTATGGTAAAATTTCTTATGGTATTTTATTACTTCTCTCTTTGTCATATCTTTATCTATTCTCCTACACTCTCCTTTTAATTTTAGCAAGTACTCCTGTATTGTTTCTGAATCACTCTTTTTTCTTGATTCTACATTTTGTCGTCTAATACGAAACCGCCCGTCCGAATCATTGTTGATTTAGCATCATACCAATTTAATTTTGGGGTTTCCGATTCGATAGCCTTAAAAATCGTTTGCGCTATATCACATGATGTAAGAGATAGTATTATCATTTTCTCCGCGTCATCCAACCTATTGGCGGTTGCAACTCTATCAAAAATAACAATGAATTTATTTGCGTCATTCTTTAAGCTTCCTGAAAATGTTTGAGGTGTTCAGCTTGGGTTTATGGCCATAGTTCTAGGGTTCATTAAAGAAATTTTTGATGGTGAAAAGTTTGGTTTTAATATGAGGATGTTATCGGATAACATTATTATGAGAGCCAACAGTTGTATCGATTTCGACTACGGTTTTATCAAAACGGTTAGGAGTGTTCGAACCACTGAGAAAGCGCTAGTGATATCTGCTGGGGCTGGCAGAATTACTGTAATTCCATCTAAATTTTTGATTTTAGAATCAGAATACTATACATTTTTATCAGATAAAGGTAGTTAGTTAAATAAAAAACACAAAATGCTTATTAAATCCTTACTGTGGCTATTGACCGGTTGTTATTTGTTTAAAAACGTTAAAATATTCAATAATTCCCCTTTAGTACAATATGAAAATAATTCCCTTTATTATTCTTTTGAAAGGTATCAATTTTTTCTTTTAGGAAAATTTGGTGTATTTATTTTGGTAATAATTGACGTGTAGGTTTGCATTTCAAAACTGAAAAGCATGTACCTTTGAAAATTAATACTGCCCTTACTGAATATTTCATATTTCTACGAGTTTTAAAAGTTTTAGAAGTAGAACGATTTTCCTTTCATTTAAAAGATAAAATACTTGTTGTGGCGTAAATTAGAGAATATCGCTATGAAAACCTATCAAATCCTATGAGGATTGTATAATCCTAAATATTTGATTATTATAATTACACTTTAAATAATAGTTATAAAAAGGCATATGGCATATTAGCTTAACTAATAATATAATAATATGAGTATTGAAATTGTTACGCAATAATATTTGAATATAAAGTCAATAAAATATTACTTAACTAGAATAAAATAAAAACCTGTCTAAAATAAAAGAGTGGTATATAAAAATTGTAGTATATTTAGGGGATCCTTCACTGAAAGTTATGATAAAACAAAGAGATCAGCAAATCCATCAATTCTTACGTGTCTATTTAAGGATTTAACCTAAATGCCCGTCAACAGTATTATAAGAGACCAATAGGGGACTGTTGGATGAACTATATCTACCTTTGATACTGTGGTATTTAATTTATATTCCATTAGAAGAACTATCGAGAGTCGCACTACAATAATATATAGGTATATAATATTCTTGGTTAACAACGATATAAATATTTAAGTGACGAAGTATTAAATAATCAATACAACATGGTGAACACTTAGAGATTATTACAATTTAACAGGGAGATGGCCGTTACACACACACACAATAATTCGGTGGTAGCTAATTTAAGTTAATGTTTTAGGTAAAAAGAGTAATAGTCGCAATGATTGTAAAAAGTCAACTGGCATTGGGGACAGTAATATTATTGTACGATAGCTGTGAATTCCAAAAGTGTTTACTTGTGCAGTCCGCCCATCTGTAGTAATACATGTGTCACTGTGTCAATGTTATAAGCCTAATCGGCAGTACAATAACATTGTGGGAAAGGGAATGTGTGATTATATCATTTGATTAAAACAATAATAAATAAATTGGGTTACAATGTGGATCATATAAATAAGATAGAAACTAAGGAGATGATAATAATGTTATAATATACGTATAATAATTAAAAATTAATAATTCATTTTTAGGCGATGCGTGTGTCATATTCAATAGTTTCACTCTTGACAAAAAAAACAAATTTCAAATAAGTTGATTGGATATAAAAATGTATTTAGTAACTTTTGTGTGCTTCATTACGTATTGAGTTTTATTGTATGTAAAAATTTATATTGATTAAGACAAAACATAATTAACTACACTTTATTTTTAAATTGTTGATTATGTTCTTAAGAAATATATAATTATGAACTATTGCTTTATTTATTATAATTCAATTTATATTTAAAATTTCTATTTGTACTATATCAATTAAGTGATATAATAGTGTTCATGCTCTTTGCATTTAATTTTATTATTTAATTTCTTATTGTCTTAATTAAATCTTAAAATAAAACCGTTTTGTTGCATTGCTAACCTTGTAATATCGATATTTATGTTAATGTAACAGCAATCAACTTACTGCCTCGTTCTAATTGATATTGTACAATAATCATGGTATTTATTATAATTACTTTCTACGACTTAGTCTGTTGTTCTCGAAGTTCGTTACCATTACAAGATTTATGCTTTTATTTACATTTCATAGAACAAATTTATATGTCAGTGTTAGGTTACAAAGTTAGACTTATAATTATGTATTGCGATTGAATAGAAATGAATATATACATTTTTAATATGTTTAAATTTATTTTACAATCAAAATTAATTTAAATTAACCTAATTTATAGAATAAAAACGTTGCTAAAATTTCTACAAATTTACAATTTGCTACATTACTTTAAACAAGACAATGCATAATAACTTATATAAATAATAAAAATTGTGATAACGGAACTATTTTAATACCACATCTTTTTTTGTTTCCTCGCCAACTTTCTTATATGATAGTGGCAATTCTTCCAAAAAGGATAAATTTTTGGATTCCACTTCAATTTCAGCTGGTACTGGTAACCTGGATAACGCATCCGCGTGACTGATCTATGTACCTTTTTTATATTGTATTATACATCGATAACTAGATAAAATTATTGTCCATCGTTGTAACCTTGACGTTGATACTACCAGGATATTTTTTGATGAATTAAAAATTGTTTTTAATGGTTGATGATCGGTTACCAAAATAAAATCTAAACCAAACAAATATTTATTAAACTTTTTTACGCCAAAAATTATTGCTAGCACTTCACGTTCAATTTGTGAACAATTTTTAGCTTCGATGCGAAGCTGAGAAGGTATTAATTTTACAATGATGTGTTTTTTTTTTATTTATTTATTTTTTTGTGTCTGTTACCACTTTTTTCAGCTCTCGCTGAACCGATTTCTTTCAACGATACGTCAAAAGATCACAAATTGTATCTAGTCGAAGACATTACCCTCAAAAATGGAAAAAAAATTCCCTGTAAATGGAGGAAATCCCCCAAAAAATTATAAATTTAAAAATCGCTGAATTTCAACATTTTTTTTACTTAAAAGTTTTACTAAAAAGGACCGAATCAATAAAAATTTTTTTTTATGTAGATGCATGATATTATTACCTTTCATTTGGTTTTTTTTTATAAATTTGACCCTTTACCTGCCCACAGGGTGGATTAAAAATGACAACTTTTTCAACTTAATTTTTGAAAGTGTTCCGGAAAGTCTGACACTTTTATATATATCTTAAATTAAATCTTATATAATGTACTTTATTATGGAAAAATAAAATTTCGGACTTAATTATGTCTTCACGGTGAAAACAGTTACCGAGTGTTATTTTTGTGTGAAAATTCTCGGTTTTATTTTTTTAATTTTTAACTTTATAATGCTATAACTTATTGAAAGGTGGATCAATGCAATTTTTTTATGAGAAATAATATTTATATCCATCTTTCATTCGATATACTTTTTTTTTTTAAATAACACCATTTCCCTTTACATATTTATATATTATAAATATATATATTTATTCATATATTACACTTATAAATCATACAACTTGTAATCAGGTTATAAATAAGGAAATAGGAGCTCATGTAGCTTTTGGAATAATATACCAATTTTTTAAAATTAAACACTATCTAAAGATTCGCATCGAAGCGTTTTTTATGATAGTGATTTTAATCACTATCAGTTATCATTATACTTGATTCAACTATGCCACGTCTCCAATGACCCCCCTATGCTGGGATTTTTGGACTATTGGATAGCGTGCTCGACGCAAACGGTATCGGTTTCTTCTCGTTATCGATTATGTGACTCAACTCCTTAACTACTACTTTTTTTTTTTTTCACGATCGTCTTATTGTTGGACGCACTGGGACTACCGTGAGGCATTCCTTCAGGGCTCCCAACGTCGCATTTAAACTCACACCACGGTGTTGTGACTCAGTCCGTTATTAATCAAGAGCTGATTCACAACACGTTTGCCGGACCCAGGGTGGGATCCGTTGACCAGGCCACACCACGTGGAAGTGGGGGTAGGACTTACCTATGGGTTGGCATAAAATATTCATAAAAAACAAAACACACAAATAGTGAGGAAGACAGAAGATACCTTATGTAGGCTTTTCCGGCCCTCACACCTTCTTGGGGCAATCCCTTGCTCGGTGGCCCCCCNTTTTTTTTTTTTTGCAAGAGTGCAATACTCTTGCAGTTTTATTCTTGTTGTTGCAAGATTCTTGCATTTTGAGTCTTGGTCTTGGTCTTGTTCTTGCAAGTCTAGTCTTGTTCTTGTTCTTGGTCTTGCTAAAAAAGTCTTGGTCTTGTTCTTGTCAATTGAGTACAGTCTTGATGTTGGTCTTGCTGATATTATTACAGTCTTGGTCTTGTTCTTGGTTTCGTAGAAATGCAAGACCAAGCCAAGACCGCAAGAACAAGAGTAATTCTGCTCATCACATCTTAGCGGTGGCTGGTGAGACGATGGGTGGTGCAATCACACACGGTGTAGCTAGTATGAAGACGGGATCCATGCCCGGGTCATCGACGCTAATCGTGTAATCGGTTTGCGTTGCCGTTTCCACGGTCACCACCTCCTCCTACGTGGTACGGGTCTGTTCGAGGTCGTTAAAAGAACAGACGCTTCTGATGAGGGCCCTTCGCGGCCAATTTCACATGGTCGTGAGAAGGCACGCCGAGAATCACGTTCTCTAAATATAGTGCCTGTTTTTGAAAAGAGAAAAATCATTTGGCTTAAAACATTCTACAAAAATATGTAATAAAATAAATTTTTTTCATCCCTTCCATTATAAAAACCTTAACTTTATTATTATTCATGGAAAATAAATCGCATACTGTTACTAATAAATAATATAATAAGTGTTCACTCCTGTACTTTACATAATATGGACTAACAAATTGATACCACAGGAAAATTGTAAAAAAAAATCAAAATTTTACAAACATCAATATGTTGTATAGATGTAACTACTGAATTAAAATAAGAGTTTTTGATAATAAACCAGGGAGTAGAAATATTAGGGGATATTAAACGATATATAAATAATTTAAATAAAAATTTAATTATATTAGAGCTATAATTCATAATTATATAAGTAGGGTAATATTGGGAATTCTAGAACCCCTTGCAGTACCACCTCACCAACCAAACATACAGGTGGGTGGGTGTGGTTGGGGGGAGAGGCGTGTCATACAGAAGGCGTGGTTTCTCCATGGTGTGGGTAATGAGAATGCGTGGTCTTATCAATGATGGGGTAAGGAGGAGGTGTGGTCTTATCATAGTTATGGTAAGGGGAAGCATGGTCTTATCATAGTTATGGTAAGGTTAAACATGGTCTTATCATAAATAGTGTAAGGGGAGGCGTTGTTTTATCATAGATAGGGTAAGGGAGGGGTGGTCTCACGATGGTAGGGTTGGACAAGTATATAAAACATGTAAAAAAACATAAACATAAAAAAAAAAAAAAAAAAATTGTTTAAAATAAACGTATATTGCATTGACAAAATAGTGCTGTTATTATTATATAATGAGACAGAGTGAAAATCTCGTTTTTAACGGAATTTGTAATGAAAATATTAATGGATACAAAGACTATAAATACGTTTAAATAATAATGTTTAAAATAATGATTATTACATAGGATTTTATTTCTCTAATAACATCATACAAAAAAACTATGTTTCTATAAAACTCAAATCATTTTTCTTCTTCTTAATTCTTCAGAAAGGCTAAAACATGGTCAAAAACCTAGCTGTATGATATCATATGTATATAAAATACCGTAGGGTATTCTTAGAGTTTTGGTGGATAATACCTTACCATCAAAATGTGACATCTCATTACGTAACTATAGTTTAAATACTTTGGCATACTTACACGTACAACTATTGTATTGTGCAGAAGAGAAATAAATTTGAAGTATATAAATATATATATTTACAGATATGTACACGTATATACATATATTTTTTTGAAAAAATACAATTTTTTACTACATTATGTTACATTAAAAAACAATGTTTTAAAACTACTTATATAGATGTATATTTACAAAAAATATTTTCAATTGTATGTATATGGCTATACATACAGAGCCATCTGTTCCAACTGTTTTAGAACCAATAGCTGAATTACAGTCATCTTTTGATTGATAGTCTCGAAGATACAACATTCCAAAGCGCTGAGTTTTAAAATGTCTGATCGGGTGAGTAACACTCGGCATTCATCTTGTGCTTGTGATTTAAAGACTAGCGAAGACTCTCCTTGAAACGTAGTCTTTGAGAGTGTAACGTATTCATCCTTGAGTAAAATAATTCTTTGTCTTGATACCGGGTCGAGAATTAGGGACAAAATATTACCCATCAACGTATAAATCCGTTGTAGGAAATCTATCGTTAAAAGTATGTAACGGGTTGACGATAGTAAACGAATAGTTACGTTAAATCGATCTTTTGGATTCAATCCTATCTGAACGAATTTACTGGATTGAAATTCTAAACGTAAACAGTGCAATCGATTAATTCACTGTGAGGTTTGGGTTTAACAAATGTTTGTTTGTTATAGAATTTAGCAATTTTAGCGAGAGAACCAGCCATTCTTAAAGGATACAAATATCGACTTAACACATTACCAACACGTTAAAGCAACGTCTGTTTATATAGAAAACCTTATAACGATTATTGCGCCATGCATACACCACGGTGAAATTATTAACTAATTTAAACCAATAGCAATAATTAGTCTAATTGTTACCGATAGATATGTTACAAACAGTTGTAAACACAGGCAGACGGGGTTCAAACAGGATGAACGGGGATTTACTACTTTTATAAACAGCCTACTACATACCATACATAGTACAACGTGCTACAATTATTATAGCGTATACTAAATTTGCTGTATATATTTAATGTGTAAAACTCTTCTTTGTACTGCTTAGTCCTACAGACTTATATTTAATATTCATTATGCAGAAAGACATAAAGTGTAGATAAATACGACAAAATTGTATAAAATAAAAAATAGTATATTTTATTGAATTTTAAATCTTACAAGTTTATGATAATAAATTTTTTTTTATTTCATATAAATAAGTTTAAAAAACAAGGAAAAATATTAACAAATTACTGAAAATCAAACAAATATGCATTTCCAATTTTGCCTCTATATAATAAATGTAATTTGTTATCGTCATTGTTGATATAGTAAGCTTCGATTTCTTCATTAGTTAATTTCAATCTCGAGATAAACACATTCATATTGTTGAATAGACAACCAACAACGACAACCTCATTTCGTGTGCTTGTATTATTCATAGATATGACTTTGTATGGCGTGTGTTCCTCCAGATCACTTAATTTTGAATATCTTTTTAATGTACTCTGATCGTTCAACTGTTTCTTTAATTGCTCCATTCTAAAATAAAAAAATAATAAAGTTTTTAACAACTCTAAACATAACTAGTAACCAAAGTCAGTAGAAAACAGTTTAAATGAAAAATATATATAAATGTATTACTTACTTTATTTTATATCAAAAGACAACAAGTCATAAAAATTCTTCAGGACAACAACAAATAGAAATAATCAGACAAATGGTTTTTGGTATAATCGCTTTAGAAAAGATAATGAATCTGAAATTGATGTGACGTTCTTTTATAGGGGTCAAAGATCTTGTTTAGACAAGTTTGGGTTGGTTTAAACAGGTTCAGATACTACACAAACGATGTCGAAAATATGCTTACCTAAGCGTCTGGCATCCGATGATAAAATTCATACGACATTACTGTACAGTGATCTCCTTGATGTTTGAAATATGCTAACCTAAGCGTCTGGTAGACGATGATAGCAATTGTTCTCATAAAACGCGTAGGCGTGAAAAAAGACAATGTTGCCATTTTTCTCATAAAATGCATACGACAGTGACCATAAATATATTGTAACATCTTTGACGTTGGAAATATGATTACCTAAGCATCTGGCATCCGATGATAAGATTCATACGACATTACTGTACGGTGACCTCTTTGATGTTTGAAATATGCTTATCTAAGCGTCTGGTAGGTAATAATAAAATTTTTAGAAATTATTTATTATATACAATCTATAGACGTGCGGCAAGTTTGTTTACGTCGAGTTTCATCCGCACCCCACCCATTAGGTTAGTTTAAGTTAAGTTTCATTACCCCTTCGCTCATTAGGACTTGTTGTAGGAAGAGGAGACCCCCCTCCCCCCGACTTTGGTTAGTTTTCATTGGGTGTCACCCATTTTGCGCACCTTACACCCAATTGTCTTAATAGAGTTTGTTACAAGTCGTTCAAGGAATAGTCAAGGAAAAGTGTGGTGGCGGCGGCCGCTACTTGACGTACACTATTTCAATGTAATATATACATTTAATGTTAAACGCAGTGAAGATTCGTGGGTGCTGGTGGTAGGGGTGCGACTTTAAATGTAATACCGCTTGTTATAGGTATAAAAAAATATGTCAAATTAAATATAATAAAATAAAATGCAATATACATATTATTATTTTAAAGGCGCAGTAGAAAATAATAATAATAACCAATAGCGATTATACTATTATAGCAACCGATAACGACGAACATAGTTAATTCTAAAAATATATTACCAATTATAGTAATTATATTATTTATATATATAATTAATAGTAAAATACTAATATTAATGAGATGCTTTTTTAAGCATCTGGTAGGTAATGATAAAATACTATGTAAAAATAAAAAAATGCTGACGTCTATGAACGTTATAATATAGCGCTACCTTTGATGTTGGAAATATGCTTATCTAAGCGTCTGGTTACCCATGATAAAATTCTTAGAATTTATTATGCCATAACGACAGACGTTGTTTTTGTTTTTATAAAATGTAGACGGTAATGTGGGTTACAATATGGCGGTACCTTTGATGTTGGAAATATGCTTACCTAAGCGTCTGGTAACCGATGATAAAATTCTTAGAATTTATTATGCCATAACGACAGACGTTGTCTTTGTTCTCATAAAATGCTGACGCCTATGAGCGTTATAATATAGTAATACATTTGATGTTAGAAATATGCTTAGCTATGCGTCTGGTAGATAACGGTTTTATACTTTTACCAATAGCCATAATTTATTAACCATCACCAATTGGCATTAAATTTCGAACATTACATTATCATTTTTTTTAGAAATGATTTATATAGAAACATGTTACCAAAAAAAATTGGAATATTATATGCTGGTAGTAGCACACAATAAATTCATAAAATACAAAGTCAAATTATTGAATTTTGTAGTAGAAAACTTTTATCATATCAAATCTAATTTGACAATAAAAATTTTAAAAATATTAAAAATGAATGATTTTAATTGTATGTATGGATAAAGCTGGTTAAGCATCTTTTTATTTGATAAAGGGAATTTGTTTATAATTTTTAAGAGTAATATCTTTAACTAAATACGAATTGTGTTCATTTGACGTATTATTGAAAAAAGTAGGTCCAGTGAGGGGTAAGAAAATAAATCCCAGCCACAAAAAAAACCTCAAGAATAATATTTTTACAAAATATTTTGACAATATCTCATAAATGCATACTATTTGAAATATTTCTACAATCTGCTCACAATTAATTTTTAAATATTTTTTGAAGAGCATATTTAAAAAAAATAAGAACACCACATTACACTAAAAATATTTCATCAATGTGCTTAAAAAATATTTGTTTATAAATATTATGAAAATGAGAATAAATATAGAATATTTAATTCGATATATTTATACAATATACCATCAATATAATTTTTTTAGCCAGTTACTATTATTTCCCTTTTGTTACGATATTGGATATTATTGTTATCGTGTTATATAATACTTGTATATTAAATATTTTTATTCCACAACCCTAAATAAGTAAACAACCGTTTTCTCTAATTAGTATCAGTTTGAATTGTCCTTATTTTATATTGAATTATGTATTAGTTAAATTATTCTCTTATTTTTTATTTTTGGATTATTTGAGTAGCTAAATTATGAGGCAAGAAATATAATTCACAAAAATTAATAGTATTATAGTTTTTTTTAGTCTACCATAAAATATTAAATAAATTTTATATTCTCTTTAGATTTGCTAGGTAGTTAAATGCCATTTTCCTGTCAAAGGGTAATAGTGCTTATTTCCGTTTTACTACGGCAACATTAATACTTCCAGTATACAGTCAATAGTTAAGTAGTGATTTACATAAAGGTAAATGTTTTTCAGGTCATCGTATATTTAATAAAATTTATATTTTTAGCTTCGATGCGAAACTGAGAAGGTAATGATTTTACAAAGATGTTTTTTTTTTTTTTTTTTTTTTTTTNTTTTTTTTTTGTGTCTGTTACCACTTTTTCTCAGCTCTCACCGAACCGATTTCTTTCAATGGTACATCAAAAGATCACAAATCGTATCTAGTCGAAGACATTACCCTCAAAAATTGAAAAAATTTCTCTCGTTCTCGATCATGTAGATTTTGGAATAATTCGCCAATTTTTTAAAATTAAACACTATCTAAAGATTTGCATCGAAGCGTTTTTTTTTTGATAGTGATGTTAATCACTGTCAGATATCATTATACTTAATCCAACTATGCCACGTCACCACTGTGCCGCGACTCCCCTGTGCTGGGTTTTTTTTAAATAATATAAATGATAATTTCTTAAAGAATTTGGAATACTCCACATATATTAGTAATTGTTTTACATAATTGTATATTTTAAAAATGTTTAATTATTATGGTGTTCAAAAAGTAAAAATATAAGCAATAGCTATAAAAATGGAAAAAATGATTATCCTTTACCTTACTCATTAAACGTCAAACTGATTGTCTGAAGGGGGTAGAAGTAAGTAGGAAGGGTTCAGCTTTTTTTTAATTATAGAATATATTTCATACTTTTATTAATATTACATAAGGCATAGTTAATTAATTACCTTGTACACTCCAAATAAAATAAATAATCTTTTATGAGTGCAAGTCTTATAACAATTACTCAGTTCATTTAAAAAATGAAAAGAACAATCAATTTTATTTGAAATTAACATAATTTGTCTAAATATTTATAAATTTTTTAGGCGTAATTACATATTTAAGTGCAGAATAACAATACACGGAAGTAAAATGAAAAATGAAATTCGAGAGAAGTTTGTTATAAAACGTCGAACATTAAGATATCTAAGTTTGTATTGTAATTTTAATCCTTTCAATCTGACCTCAATTCGGAATTTCAAGTTTTAACAAATGTGTTATGCTCTATTATTATTAGTGGAAATTATTGAAATAAATTTTTATGTGTTTATTGGTTATTACTATGTGATGAACGATTTTTTTTCAGTTGTCCAAATATTTTTAAATGTAATGTGCTCTATTTTAATATTTGTCAATGCTTATAGACTTTCTACAAAACATGATGAATTAACAAAATTATTTGACGCAACGAGTAGCGATTTTTTATCTACTAATTATAAAGAAAAATGTATATTTGAACACAACGAATCTATATGTATTAAGATAATAAACATATACTCTTTTATATATTTTTCGGGGTGGTTAGTTTGGATCCTCAATCCATTGTTTATAAAAGAATTTACTTTAAAAAGAAGAGACGGCAGTCTGGTAATTTATCAAAACAACGTCCTAAATTCAATTCTTAGTTTCATACCTATTTCGATTTATGAGCGAATTTACTCAATTGCATATCTCTTAGAAGCTATTGAAATATTACATATTATGTTTGCTTTAATTGTTTACAATACAATAATTGTACAATTTTGTTGGATGTTATCTGCTCAATTGAAAATCATTATCTTTAAATGTGAATCATTTGGATGCAAAAATTTTGAATTAGGTGTGTAAAATGCTTTAGATAATTTTGTATTTTATTAATTTTTTGTGATAACACAGAAAGAAAACATATTTTTTTATTACTAATTATATTTACTTGTTTTCCAAATAGGACAGAGAAACAACCCCAATTACATTAATACATGATTAATTTGAAACAATTGCTATCAGATCATACAAAGTTAAATGTGTAAGTTGATTAAACGATTTTTAAGTTATTTTTACATTGTAAATATATTATTGTAATTTTTTTAAATATCTATCGTTTAATTTTACGTATATTTAAAATGGTACATTCATTCTTATCATCATGTTATGAAAAATTTCTGTATTTTTGTACATTGATTAATTTTTAAACGAAATTAAATAATTATTCATTAACATTTAAGCATTTTAAAATGTTATTCATAATATGGTAGATAATCTGATTACTAATTTGGTGTTTTATTTTAAATTATTATTACTATTAGTTCAATTAAGAAATTTCATGACATAATGAAGCCGATGACAATGTTTAGCTTTGGGTTCTTTTTCAATGCTTTTATCGCTCTAATATATATGTGTATTTTGGTATGTATATTTAAAATTTACCGATTATGTGATTTTTGCAGGGCTTGAACCAGTTAAATCTGATTTTTTTAATCAAGAAGCGATTCCTTGATTTTTTTAGCTTCGATGCGAAGCTGAGAAGGTATTGGTTTTACAAAGATGTGTTTTTTTTTTTTTTTTTTTTT